TCCTCAAATCTTGGTGATTCAAATGTACTTAAATTTCAGTATGTAATTTAAAAAGTGTAATACTATTTTGAAGTGTCCACTTGTGATTTATCCATTTATTTCATGAAAGGAATTTAATACACTTACTAGTCACAATAGGCACTGTTAGTTGCTAAACTACTAATGTTAGTTTTTGCAATGCAATTGATTGGGGTTGTTTTCCCCTCACATCACTGTCCCTAAGCAGCTATGATCCAAGCATTCTGCCATCCTGGAGGCTACTGCTTAAAAAAAAAAAAAAAAAAAAAAAAGATCTTCAAAATCATCACATAAGGTAAAGAGAGATCATCTGAGGAGTTCCTAGTTTACAACATTACTAGCTACAGTCATTGGACACAATAAAAACCATGTGCGCTCAACCTAATTACTAAAGACGCATAGCTTTTGCATGTGCTGAGGAAGAGCAAATAGGATCGACAAACAACTAGTGAGTTTCTAGCTCCTTGTGACCACCAAAAATCCATTTTATTCTTCTTCTTAAGTTGGTTGGCTGACTAGCCTGTTACTGGTTTATATGCTTTGCTACCTCTTTCTTTTTAGCCATTTCACAATCAAATTATTCAAATTATTATGCTTTGAGAAGGAAAAGCGACACATCTCTCTTCCCCTGTGTTACTATTATTAATCATGGCTATGAGCTATGAAAGCTTTAAGAGGCCACAATGCTGTGGCACTGATGTCAGAAGACCTCCACTAATAAAGGCAACATCAACTCCTAGCAGAACTTCTCTTTCCAGTTTCCCAATGTTCCTGTGAGAATGAATCACAACATTAGAACCATGATCTGTGACCCACGTTCGGAGGATATGAACTGAGATCTATTACATTTGGGGGATGACAGGATGGCAATTATAGTTTATCAGTTTTGCTCTTTAACCATCCACTTTTGCGAAAATAAGGCAGCATTTTGAGGAAGAGGCTTCTGAGAATAAGCATTGAGAATATCTTTCTAAAACACAGAAGGCAGAGATGTCTATGACATCTAGTTCCATCCAATCAACAAACATAATATGGCGAAGTTCAGCTTCCATCTGCTGACCACCTGCCTGTCTGTCTCTTTCTTTAAAAATATGTACTTTCTAATTCAAAAAGCCTGAAGTGAACATCAGACCAATTCATTGGTGTAAAGGGAACATCATACCAATGCTTATCAGCAAAATTATCAGAATTACAAAATAAGACAAAAATGTTTTCCCTAAAAGGATGTATGTCTGATTGGAATGGTTTAACACTGAAAGGGGCTGGTAGTGACAATTTTATTATGCAGTATACATTTCTTTCCTTCCTTCCTTCCCTCCCTCTTTCCTTCCTTCCTCCCTTCTTTCCTTCCCTCCTTCCCTCCTTCCTTTCTTTCTTTCTTCCTTCCTTCCTTCCTGCCTGCCTGCCTACCTGCCTGCTTTCCTGCCTTCATGGACTGGTCTGTTTTCTATTTCCTTTTCAATGTGCTCTCCTTTTTAAGAAATCCTAAAATTTAACTTCCAAACTATCTAGTAAGATTTTATACTTTAAATTATGTTTTTATTTTTAATCAGCTCTCTGTTTTCTTGAATATTCCTTCATTATTGTGACCTGTTCTTGCTTCATGAATATAATGGGTTGTTTTTATCTCTAAAGATAATAATTATAGTGGATTTATTTATGTATTTTATGTATTTGTTGTCAGTCATGGGGTTTGAACTTGGAGCCTGGGCACTGTCCCTGAGCTCTTCTGCTCAAGGCTAGTACTCTTCCACTTTGAGTCACAGCGCCACTTCTGGTTTTCTGGGGGTGAATTGGAGATTAAGGATCTCACTGACTTTCTTGCCTAGGCTGGCTTCAAAACTTGATCCTCAGATCTCAAACTCTTGAAGATGACAAAGGATGGCAATTTCAGTCTAGCTGTTTTGCTCTATAATCATCCAATTTTGCAAAAACAGGGCTGAATTTTGAGGAAGATGCTTTTGAGACCAGGCATTGAATATTCAGGCTAGGACTACAGCTAAGAGTATGAGCACAAGCCACCAGCACTGGGCTTATAGTGAATTTTTACAAGTATGCTCTTTCCCTTGGGAAAAAAAAATCAGTTTTCCCAAATTTCTTTTTTTTTAAATTTTATTTCATCAGATACTATATTTTCTGGTAGGCAGTTTTTTTTTTCATGTGTCTTTCAGTGCTATAAGTTCCTATTCAAGAAGCAATTGAGAAGCTGATTGAAAATTCTAAATATGAATGTGAAGCCTGTTGCCCTTTTCTTTTGGATGATGTAGCTGTACAAAGTATTTAAAGAGCTTCCTTCTACTTAAGCTGGTCAAATTTCCCACAGAGGATCCTTTCATTCTCGTGCATAGAGGGAGCAGGTCTGGCTTCTCTCTTCCTTGAAGCTGAGTGGGAAAAGTTGTTCAGTATTAGAAGCATGAGATTGAAACAGAGAATATAACCTGGTGGTACAGCGTTCATCCAGTCCTTCGTATTTACCACTCTCCCCACATATTCACTTTTTAGCTACATGATTAGATTTCCCTGCTTAGAATACAGTATGACTATTGGTAACAAGCAGTTCCCGTTTATCACTTAAGCACAAAGATTTGCTTTGGTATATCAAGGGACTAGAGTTAAGAATTTCTTAATCTCTGTCCTTTTATATTTGCCAAGGTAGAAGAAAAGGCAACTTGATAAAATATAGTCTAGATAATAAAGCACCCACCACAGGTGACGTTTATATCATAATGGCTAAAGAAAGTCACATGCCCCTTCCTTACTTCAGACATAGAGGAAAATCTTTGAATATACCTAGGGAGAAGCCAGAAATCTAAGTTGAATAGCACCAAGGAATCCTTGCTTTGATGCTAATAGGTTTGGGTCCTTTCCATATTCTGAATTGTAGTCCTAATTGTCCTCCAGTTTTTCCCTGCTGGTGTAGTGTTGGTGTTTTCTAAGCCTGCTAAACTGGCTCCCACTTGTCCGTAATGCTGGCACCAGTGTAATTTTTCCTGTCTTTGCTGTTACTTGTGAGTACATCTGGAAAATTATTTTCTTTTCAGTAGAACTTCAGAAAAGAATGAAATCATTTGCATATATTAAATATATTAGTTTTATTGGTACAACTCTGATTATCATCTTCTCTGAATGAAGAAAGTTTGTAGTATTCATGAAAATTTAGATAATACATATAATTAGATACATACTTTATTTTTTTAAGATGGCACAGACATCACTAATGTGCTTTGATGTAAACAGCCTTTTGATCTATCTAAATCTCTCTGTATTTTGGATTTTAATTCATATGTGAGGAGAGCAAGGATCAATCATTTGTTGAGTACTAAGAATCATTGTTTAATTTTCCAGAGATGTACTAGTTACTTAGATGACAATTCTATTTTCAAGTCAGAAAAATTTCAAATTCAATTCAAATTCATTGGTTTTTATCAAAAGTGATGTAATAGTTTAGTTGCTTGTTTTACATGTAGTCGACTGCTACAAACTCTTGTTTATCCATCACAAACTGCATGGAAAGAATTTCATTTGTCGTACATACATGTTTTTTGCTCATGCATCAGTAGGTTGCTTAGTTTATAGTAGCTCTAGGTTGGGCTTGCTCTTGCATCTTTGGTTATTTGTAGAGAGCTGAAGGTTATACTGTAGCAGGATTGCTCAACTATACTGTCCTCTGCTCTCATTTTTATGTAGCTTTCCTAGACTTGTTTTCACATCAGTACCAGAGGAAGGCAAAACCTTTCAAGTCCTGGTTATTGCTACGTAGTACTAACATTGCCTTAATGTGGCCAATGTAAGTACAAAGGCAGCCTAGATGAAGGAAAGGAAAAGACATTATCCTTGAATAGAAGACTCATGGTTTCAGCCTACAGAGTGGTGAGGATAGGGAAGAATAATAACGAAGGTTGTGTGTGTGTGTGTGTGTGTACATTATATTCTACAGTTATCAAATGCTCAATGCAGTATTTTTGATACTAAAATACATAAACTTGGCATATTGCTGAAAGCAGTTAGTGAATTGAATCACATTTTATTCCTGGATATAATAAATTTCCCAAGTGTATACATACAAATGATCAATTTTCCATTAATTCCTAACTTTTCTCATTCATAATAAACCAGCTCATCTGGATTACCAAAACATTACTTAAATTAAAATTTATATTTTTTATATAATAACTACCTATAAAATTGAAAACATTGATTATGTGGTCACAGTAAAACTCATCCATATGGCTTTTTTGTTGAGATGGAGTATCACTAAATTTTTTTGCCCAGGCTAGCCTAAAACCACTGTCCTCCCAATCTTTGCTTCTGTAGTAGCTGAGATTATAAGAAGGTACCTCCCATACACACATATGGCTAACTCAGATTGAGACTGTAAAGATAAATAAATTCTAAAGACTTACTACAAAAGAGAATGCAAAAAGTCATTCATCTTGGGAGCAAAAAATCATTAATCTTGGGAGGATATACAGTATAATACCAATATACTTTTATGTACCTTTTCAAAATTCTTTAATGTAGCAACTGGGAATCTAAAATGATATTTATGATTGCATTACATTTCTATGGGATAGTACAGGTCTGGCCCCAAAGAAGCAGACCTGGGGAGAACGCCAGTCTAAATGGAGTCTTGTCTTTTCAATTACACTTTCCTCTGAAACTCCTTCTCCATGAAGTGGAAAAGCACACCGTTTCTGTTTGGGGTGACATTTTCCTCCATTCCTGACAGGAATTCCTCAAGATCAATCTACCACATCAGGAGATGCTCAAAAGTTAATGGAAAAATTGAAGGAAGTAGTTTATTCACGTTGTGGTCACTTACCATAGGCATTTAGGACACGAGGTTTATTGAAGATGACTAAAGAAGGAGATTCCTGGAAATACTGGGTGTCCTAGGGGGCAAAGGGAATGTGTTTTCCAGGGACCTTGATATTGTAAAACAACTCATTTTCCCTTTTTTTTTCTTTCTGTTTATTTCAGAACGCTGCGATGACTGGGGACTAGACACCATGAGGCAAATCCAAGTATTTGAAGATGAGCCCGCTCGCATTAAGTGTCCCCTCTTTGAACACTTCTTGAAGTTTAACTACAGCACTGCCCACTCTGCTGGGCTTACTCTGATCTGGTATTGGACTAGACAAGACAGAGATTTGGAGGAACCCATTAACTTCCGCCTCCCTGAGAACCGCATCAGTAAGGAGAAAGACGTGCTCTGGTTCCGGCCCACACTTCTCAACGACACTGGCAACTATACCTGCATGCTAAGGTAGCTTGTCTCTCCATGATGATGGTTTTGCCACTTTGGTTCCTAGACTTTCATACACATAATGAATGCGCCATCAAGTTGTGTAAGGGAAGGAAACTTTTAGGTAGAATTCTATCTGTCCTGTGGTTTAGTAGAGGAGGTGAAGGAAGGCATGCAGAGGGAGAAAATATGCCCTGGGCAGAATCCAACATGGTGGTCTCTTTTCAGATGCTGACACATACAAGTTTGCCTCAAGAAGGAGCTGTGTTGGTTTGTCCTCTTCCTATAACACTGGGGCATGCTTACCTAAATATCTTAACTAGAGGCATCCATTTCTGCAATAAATACACAGGGAAGAGAGTAGAGTCCACTCTGTTTTTCTTGGCATCTCTTGAAATGATTGGCATAAGATCAACTCTTTGGAGGCATTGATATATTTAAGACTATGTTTCAAAACAGCTCTACCAAAATTATCCCAAGAAGCAAGTGAACACCATATCCTTAGGAATCTAAGGATATAATCTAAAGCAGTTGACCATGATTGCAACATGGATTCTTCAAATCATTTTTAAAACTAAGGTGTTTGGGTTTTTATTTTTCTTTCTTTTGGTCTTAGGGCTTGAACGCAGGGAATGGGAACTTTCTTGATTAAGGCTAAATTCACCACTTGAATCATGGTTCCATTTCTGATTTATTTTGTGCACACGTGTGTGTGTGTGTGTGTGTGTGTGTGTGATTTAGAACTGTCTCATGGACTTTCCTCCCCCAGCTTGTTTCAAACCACTATCCTCAGATATTAACCTTCTAACTAAGATTTAAGATGTGAGCCATCAGCACTGAGCTAAAAACTGTTGTGTTTTTTTTTGTTTCATTTTCTTTTTTCTTGCTTATGTTTTACTCATGGTTGCTCAGTAGCTACCACACTGTATTTTGTCTTCTAAACTCTTATCTGGATTTTTTCTTTTAACAGAATTCCCTATTACTTAATAGGTATATTGATTTCTAAGAGCTGTGCAAAGTACATCTAAAAGACATTTAAAATTTTTAATTTCTTAGATTTCTGGCCTCCAGAAGTCTAAAATCAGAGTCTGTAAAATAGCTTTCCTAGCTGCTCTTTCCTTGGCTTCATATGGCGTCATCTTTTCGCTTCTGTAAGGTTTTCCAGGTCTTTGTGTCTGTGTTTTAATTTCTTTCTTCCTCTCCACATGATAAAATTTCTTATTTACTTTAATTACATCTTTAAAAGACACAAATTCTCCTGTCCAAGCTGTATTTGAACCAGACTCCTGAGATCTTAGTTTCTTGAATAGCTAGAATTACAAGCATGAGCTACCAGAGTCCAACTTCTGTTTTGATAAATGATTATGTTTATGTTATAATTAATATAGTTTATAGTTTACATTAATTCTTACATAAATGTTTTGCTTTATTAGCACAGAGAAAAAAATGGTCCTTATGTCCTCAAAAGGCCCTTCTGAGGCCTTGAACAGATATCCTCGGTTTTTTGGAGGAGAATCTAGCTAGACTAATCTGGGGACCCCAAAGAGACAGGGATATTCATGCTCCATTATTAGGTCCTAATAGAACTTAGTTTAAATTAAAACTCTTTACATTAGAAAGAACTCTAGATGAAGTGTTTCTCTCAGATTTGAATACTGTACTACACTTTTCTTTTTAACCTTCTTCTCTGAGTTTTCTACTGATTTCAATATTTTACTGACTGAAAGGGTCATGGATAGACATCTTTTAGTAACATGCTATATTTTTCCTTTTTATATATATTTTGATCTGTGGAGAAAAGTTTTCAGACAAAATATTACTAGGCTAAAGCTTTAAAAATTGCCCTGGGAACTTTTTTCTTCTTGCCAGTAGTGGGACTTGGACTTAATAGCCTCACACTCTCTGTTGGCTATTTCTCTCAAGGCTGGTGCGCCATCACTTGAATCATACTTCTGTTTCCAGCTCTTTGCTAGTGATAAGAGATTCTTGGATTTGGCTGCTGGAGCTGGCTTTGAATCTCAATCCTCAGATCTCAGCCTCATAGTAGCTAGGGTAATACATGTGAGCCACCAGTGCCGACTCCAGAAACATTTCTTTTTGAAAGGTATGTTTAGCATGATCAGTTTTGCTTAAATACATCGCTCTTACCATTGCCTTACCATCACTATCACTGAGATTGTGCTAAGTGACAACTTAAAATAAACACACACATATACATACATTTAGTGCCATATATAAATATTTTAGTCCATTAATAGTAGGTGATTGTGTTTTCTTCTTCATTCTTCCTTGCCAGTTGGTATACGGAATGTCTCAATAGGTAAATCATTTACTTTATACAGGGGAAGTACAGATAAGAATCCAATGTATATCCAACAAAATTAAGAAGAGGGAGGGAAGGGGAAGATAGTGGAGGGATGCTTGAATGTTGAAAGGGGTGATATTGATCAAGATAGATCACATTTATGAACTGTTTTGTTAAGTGGCAATTCCTTTGTACAACTTTGCCTTGTTAAACTGAATGCTGATGACACTGCCTGGTCATTGCGTATTTCTCTATTCAGGAATACCACATATTGCAGCAAAGTTGCATTTCCCCTGGAAGTTGTTCAGAAAGACAGTTGTTACAAGTCCCCCATGAAACTCCCAGTACAGCGGCTCTATCTAGAAAACGGCATTCAGAAGATTTCTTGTCCAAATGTTGATGGATATTTTCCTCCCAGTATCAAGCCAGCCTTCACTTGGTATAAGGTAAGAAAATTAGAGCACATTTCATTTTTTAAAAACAATTATTTATTTGCTGAGAATTTTTTTTTTTACTCCTCATAGTTCCTGCTTTCTTTAGTGACTCCGTACCGATCTTACCACACTTCTTGATTGTGTAGTGTTTTAAAAGGAAGAGGTCTATGGGTTGCTTTGCATCAGTCCACTATTTAAGTTATGCTCACTGGAATATCAGAATAGATGTATTTCTGTCAACTTCCCCTGGAACATGTTCTGTGCAATGTTTTCCAGTTTCCACTCAGCACTGCTTAGCAAAGTCGGAAGCGGATGATTCATCCGGTGAATCTCAACTCCTTCATTAGTCAGTGCTGTAATTTATTATTTATGTGTGTTTTCTAGTTTGCCCTCATTTGCGGGCAACTTCCATCTGTGGTCTCTTCCACATCTGAGAGATTTGGAAAGTGTTTAATCAAAAAAACCCAAGAGTGTTGGGAAGGTGATACTTGGGGCAGCAGCATAGCTTTTGAATGACTTCAAGTCTCCCCAGACGTCAAAGCCAGAAACACAAGGATTATTTACAACACAGCTAGAGACAAGTTCTCCATAAGAACAACTTTCAAGCAAGTGACATAAACCATCAATATCAGATCTAGATGGAATTGGCACTTGACTGGAAGGGAGAAGAAGGAAGTATTGCATTGAAAGGACACACCAAAAGAATCAATAAGAACTCACAGGAAATGATGATAGGCCAGTATAAGAGCACTAGATGAAATTGGGAAGTGTACTCTCTGAGAAACTGGGTGTCAGAGACCTTTAGTAAGAAATGGTGAAGTGTTGGGAGCAGGTGTAGCACCTTCCAAGTAAAAAAAATGACAAGTCACACTGTGGAAAAACTGTTGAGAGTAGAAGGATCCTAGGAAAGCATGTCCAATTACCTGAATCCAATCACCAGAATTGCAAGCAATCAACTTAAATTAGATCAGCACAATATGGTAGGAGGAAAGATAAGGGACTAATAAAAATATAAGAAGTGAGACAAACTTAAAAGATTGTTTTTAAGACTAAGCCATCATGGTTTTGAAGATTATTCTCTATTAAGTTAGAAAATCATGCCATATTCTATAGTCCAGACAAATATAGTTCCACATAAAACTGAGCTATTAGTGAAGCAAGATAAAATTCTGTTCAATATTACAGAAAATACAGGGTCAAAGAAAACAATAAAAATGTATAACATCTTTGTAGAAAATAAATTTCCAAAGGATATTTACCTATTTTTTACCTATTTACCTATATTACCTATTTCAAAAGTGAGCTAAGAAGCGTTAAATACCATAAATGTGGGAAATAATACCATAAATGAATGGAAATTGAAAAGTCTAGAAATTATTTAATTCTCTGAAGTGCAGAGAATAAATTATTTCAGAAATGGAGCAAAATGAAAAGGAGCAGAGTAGCAAATGAGAATATAGTACCTGATATTTAAAGTAAATAGGAAGTGAAGAAAAATTTTAAGAATAAAAATTAATTCATGAAGTAAGAAGAAAAGAGTAGTCATACAAATATCAAAAGAAGAGGGTTTATGACAATGAGTATTATCAGAGCTAAAGGGAATATTTCATAATAAGAAGAAGGTTATTTCATCAGGAAAACATACAAGTACTAAAAGTATATGTGTCTTATAACAGGGCTTCAAAATACATGAAGCAAAAGTATTCAAGGGGAAAACAGATAGTTTCACAAACAGTTGAATTTTTAAAATTTGTGTCTGAATTGTTAGAGATGAATCTCAAGAATAAATCTAAAAAGTCTTCTATTGACCAAAGATGAACAGTTCGAATACAGGAGGTATATTATTTGTAGTGGTTTCAATCAAATGATATAAGTTTAAATTCATAAGTTCATAATGATATTTCATAAGTACTTAAACGGTAATTTTTTGAGTGCTGTCAGGAAATCAATTTAATATATGGAAAATTAGTAAAGGGAATTAGTATGGTTTTTTCCTAGAAGAATCATGTTATTGATGAATGAAATAGTGCCAAGAAATATATTTTTATAAAAGTATTCCTATTAATAAATGAAGGAAGAATGATAGATTTGGAATGCCACTCTGAAAGCCCCAGTTGACTAATACATCTAAGCAGTATGCATCGATTACGGCTAACATCATGAGTGATAAACCATCAGATATGTATCTTCTGATGAAAGAACACAGTGATATCTATAACCTTGCCAAATGAATTAAAATGGAGTCTGCTCAAGCCTTTTTATAGTGCTGCTATCTGCCAAATATGAGAGAACATGACTATATTGAACCACACCAATAGTTGCAGTCAGCAAATCCAGACTGTGAAACTATACAGACCAGATGTGCTGAACTCCTCTGCCAGTAAGTAAAAGAAAGGCAGGGAGTGAGAATGTACAAGTTAAAAGCAGCAAAGACATTTTGAAAGTGGATAAAAGTGTTCATCTAAGGCTGTGCACACACATGACACCATTATAAATGGAAATGAAGTGATTTTACTCCAGAGGTTTAGGCAATTACTTCTTTGGGTGTGATTGAGAAGCAGGTGTGATTGACACAGGATACATGGAAAGTTTCCAAAATTGGTCCATAAGTCCTCTTCGTAGACCTTACTGGGACTAAAAATTATGCTTGCTTTCACATAATCCATTAACTCAAACATACATGTTTACTACTTTAGTAAATATTTCATTTTATAATAAAGTGACTAAGGGCAGGAAAGAATATGAGTTAAGTGTATATATATATATATATATATATATATATATATATATATATAAAATTACAATATATGAACCTTAGCTGAAACCTGTTTCATTCGAATAAGCAATAAAACAAATTATAAGAGAACCTTATGGAATCTGACCCGGGGAAGGCTAATGATATCCATGAATTGCTACTTATAAACATGATGATGACACTATACTTAGAGTTGCAGAGGCTGTGTTACAATTTATAGATACACACAGAAATATTTGCTAAAGAAATGTTATGGTGCTGGGTTCCAGTGGCTCACATCCATAATCTTAGTTGCTGGGGGCAGGGAACCGAATCTGAGCACTTTGAAGCCAGCCTGTGTAGAAAAGTCCCCGTGAAACTCATCTCCATTTAACCACTCAAAAACCAGAAATGGAGCTGGGGAAAGTGATAGAGCACTAGCTTTGAGCAAAAGATCTCATTGACAGCACTGACACCCTGAGTTCAAGCCCCATGACTGACAGGGAAAAAAAAGAAATAAATTTTTATGATAGTTTTGATTTTCCTAATAATAGTCTCAGGATCCAATGATTGAAGATAGAAGTAAGGTATGGGCTGGTGACTGCTAATGAGAGTATAGGAGCCATTATTTAAACTTTCCAAGGTAATTATACTAAAACATATTGAAGATAATATTAACTATTTATAGCCATAAGTATGATACATCTTCATGTTCAAAAAGTATGTTTAGGGGTTGGGAAGGTGGCTCAGCGGTAGAGCGCTTGCCTTGCATGCCTGAGGTCCTGGGTTCGATTCCTCAGCACCACATAAGCAAAAAGAAAAAAACTGGAAGTGGTGCTGTGGCTCAAGTGGTAGAACGCTAGCCTTGAGCTGAAGAGCTGAGGGACAGCGCCCAGGCCCAGAATTCAGACCCCACAACCGGACCTAAAAAAAAAAAAAAAAGTATGTTTATTACTCCTGAAATCAAGGTCACAGAACACTAAATTTAACTATTTTTCAGTCATATGCCTATTTACAACCATTTTCTACTTTCCATGTTATTCATGTATTTCCTCTCCTGAGAATGTCCTTTTCTTCCTTTAGAACAGATCAGATCCTTTACCTTTCATGAATTGTTCCTTGTTTCCTCCAGCCAGACATCATTTTCCCCCCAGATATTCCCATAGCTATTTATCTATGCTGGTTTTAGTGGAATTTTTCACTGTAGTTTTTGTAGTCATTCATTCATGGATGTACTGAACATACTAGCTGAACATCACCTTTGGGTGAGGGATACATTACAAAGAACTAAATCTATGTCCCACCCTGCAAAATCTCAAAAGAAATACACCATTGAGCAGAGACAGGTTTATATGGAGAAATCCTATTTTTATCAAAAAGTAGAGCTTCATGACAGAGAGGATTTGCTGCTGGGTTTAGTGAGAGGAATATCATGTGATCTATGAGACTATTGTGTGAGGGCCAAGTATGCCATTTCCAGTGATTTCCCAGGTCTTTTCTTCCTCCTGTCTGAATGAGTGGCAGTACTATTAACCAAGCCATGAAATGATGGAAAAGAAGCTGAGTAGCAAGCAGTGCATTTGGCGAATGTCATATTAAGTTAGAGATATCTGTGGGACACTTAGGTGGCAGGTGGCAGTGACTAGCAGATAGTGGATGCGTATCATATGTGCTTGAAATGTAGGAGAAAACTCAAAGCCAGAGAAACAAGATTAGATGTATCTATGTAATAGTTGGAGCTGTTAAGGAAACGGAAGTGAGAAGACAAGCCACCCAAGGTCACACTTTAGACAGTCTATTCATGAGGTCATGGGAAGCATAAAATACAGGGAAGAAAAATTGTCACTGCTGTAAAACCACTATTGAGGCAGATACCTCATGGTTTTTGAAGCCATCCCAGGCAGAAAACTCCCTAAGACTCTAATTAAGGGGCAAAAAGCCGGAATTGAAGGTGTAGTTTAAGCAGTAGATCACCAGCCTTGAGGGAAAAAGCCAAGGGACAATACTGAGGTTCCCTCCAGTACCAGAACACACACAAATAAAAGTTATCATCAGTTTTAGTTTATTTGATTTCCTCTCCTTGAACTTTTAAAGTGGCTGAATTAAAAGAAAGAAATGGATTCAGTACTAATGTATTCTTACATAGTAGGAGTACAAAGCAGCAGTCTAGTTGGTTTATATGTTAATGGATACAACACTTCTCACAACCCTGCCAGGTCTGTGTCACTGTTCTTAATAGATTAGAAATGGAGGCTGCAGAAATAAACCATCGTAGCTG